CGGACGTTCTTGAGGACAGACAGGAGGAGTTCCAGTGTCTTGCTGCTGCTTTGCCCCGTCTCGTGTCCTTGCTAGTTGCCCCTGAGGGAGACCCGGATGCACCAGACATCCCGACCCCGCGCACTTACGCTGAGGCGATGGCGGGTCCCTACTCCTCTCAGTGGCAGACAGCCATGGACGCCGAGATGGCTTCCTGGAAGTCCACACGCACCTACGTCGACGAGGTTCCCCCTCCTGGGGCGAACATCGTCAGTGGCATGTGGATTTTCCGGGTGAAGCGGCCGCTGGGTTCTCCGCCTGTCTTCAAGGCGCGTTACGTGGCTCGAGGCTTCAGTCAGCGAGAGGGAGTTGACTTCTTCCAGACCTTCTCCCCCACCCCGAAGATGACTACTCTTCGGGTGCTGCTGCACATAGCCGCTCACCGCGACTACGAGCTTCACTCACTTGACTTCAGCACTGCTTTCTTGCAGGGCAACCTGCACGAGGAGATCTGGCTGCGCCGCCCACCTGGCTTCACTGGGTCGTTTCCTCCTGGTACCCAGTGGAGGCTTCAGCGGCCGGTCTACGGTCTCCGCCAGGCTCCGCGTGAGTGGCACGACACACTGAGGACTACACTTGCGGCTCTTGGGTTCGCGCCTTCTACAGCTGACCCGTCGCTGTTCCTGCGCACCGACACTTCGCTGCCGCCGTTCTACATCCTCGTGTATGTCGACGACTTGGTCTTTGCCACTGCTGACACTGCAGGACTCGCCTACGTGAAGTCGGAGCTGCAGAGGAGACACACGTGCACAGACCTGGGTGAGCTGACAAGCTATCTTGGCTTGCGGATCACCCGGGACAGAGCACGGCGCACCATCACCCTGACTCAGTCACACATGGTGCAGCAGGTTCTCCAGCGCTTCCGCTTCACGTACTCCTCGCCTCAGTCCACTCCTCTACCTACCGGTCACTCGCTCTCAGCTCTGCCTTCGGATGAGTCCGTAGAGCCGAGTGGCCCGTATCCAGAGCTTGTGGGCTGCCTCATGTACCTGATGACCTGCACTCGACCTGACCTTGCATACCCTCTTAGCATCCTTGCACGCTATGTCGCTCCTGGCCGTCACAGGAAGGAGCACATGGATGCCGCTAAGAGGGTGTTGCACTACTTGTGCAGTACGTCGGGCATGGGGCTTGTGCTTGGAGGGCGAGACCGAGTTGTTCTCACAGGGCACTCAGACGCTTCTTGGGCAGACGACCAGGCCACTCAGCGGTCGTCTCAGGGTTACACCTTCAGCCTTGGCTCTGGCTCAGTTTCTTGGCGCTCTACACGCTCTTCTTCTGTTCTCGGCTCCAGTTGCGAGGCTGAGATCTACGCTACAGCCATGGCTGCCCAGGAGCTACGCTGGCTGACCTACCTGCTGACCGACCTCGGAGAGCGGCCTCGTTCTCCTCCAGTACTGTACGTCGACAACAAGGCTGCCATTGCCTTGTGTGAGGAGCACAGACTGGAGCACAGAACGAAACACATCGCTCTGCGGTACTTCCTTGCTCGTGAGCTGCAGCAGCGCGGTCAGCTTTGTATTCGCTACGTGGCCACTGAGGCCAACACTGCTGATGTGTTCACCAAGGCGCTTCAGCCTCGTGACCATCAGCGCTTCTGCACTCTACTAGGCCTTGTGCCTACTGGACCTCACTTGCTTACCTCTTGACTTTGCTTGTACTGTGATCACTATATATATCTATACCTGCATGTTTACTCTTGCTAGGTTGTGATCACTGTATCTCTTGCTCTGTTATAAACCTGCATGTGAACTGGTCTTGTGACCACTAGCTTGTGCTCGGAATTTGTGTGGAATCCTCGAGATCCACCCTGAGCTTGTTGTTGCCTTGCTTTGCCTTGACTGGTCTTGTGACCCCTAGGTCTCCCCCACTTTGCCTATGGGGGTGTGTCAAACATTATATGTTTATATGATTGTAGGCAGTAGTGGGTGATACCTTAGGGGGTACACTGGATTAGGGTTTCCTATTTGTATCCATCCTTCTGTTAGTACAGTCATTCCAGTCCGTTATTACTGACACATTTCTTCCAAGCTGATCTTCAGGCATAAGTACGGCCCTGATGGGGAGCTGACCCGCTACAAGTCGAGGCTTGTGGCTAAGGGGTTCCAGCAGACAAAGGGCAAGGACTTTGACGAGATCTTTGCTCCTGTGGGGAAAGGGACAACACTGAGAGTGTCATTGGCAATGGCTGCAAACCGCGGATGGAGGATCAAGCAGATGGACATCACCACTGCCTTCCTCAATGGGATCATTTTGGAGGAGCTGTACATGCTGCAACCTGAGGGGTTGGATGATGGGAGCGGCAGGGTGTGCAGGCTGAAGAAGGCCATCTATGGCCTGAAGCAGGCTCCTCGTGCGTGGTACCACAAGCTAGAGGAGACACTGCTGGCTGGGGGTTTCAAGAAGAGTGAATGTGACCACAGCTTGTTCCTGCTGCAAGAGAAGGAGCAGTTTCTCATGCTCCTGGTGTATGTGGACGACATCCTGCTTTTCTCCGAGTCGTCTGCAATGATTGAACGTGTGGAGGAGATGCTGGAGATGCAGTTCAAGTGTTCCAAGATGGGAGATGTGAAGTATTACCTGGGGATGCATGTGGAGAGGGACCTTGACAAGGGAGTGTTGAGGTTGCACCAGAGGAAGTATTGTGAGGGGCTGGCCGAGAAGTATGGGCTGCAAGATGGAGGGAAGCCAGCCACCCCACTACCTTCGGGGTTCACTGTGGAGCCCTGTGCTGATGAGGAGGTGGTGGGAGAAGGTGACAGGAAGCTGTTTCATTCTATGGTTGGGGCACTCAACTATGCGGCTAACCACACGCGGCCTGACATTGCCTTTGCTACATCCAGGCTTGCCAGTGTGGTTTCACGCCCCAGTCATGAGCAGCTGGAAGCGGCCAAGAGGTTTTTCTCCGCTATGTGAGCGCGACAGCGTCAGTGGGTTTGGAGTACAGTGCTGTGCGACAGAGGCTGCAGAGGGGTGCAGCTGATTTGAGCAAGGGGGAGATGCTCTTGACTTGCTACACCGACGCCAGCTTCAACTCTGTGAAGGCGGATGGCACCAGCATTGGAGGCTACGTGTGCCTCTTTGGAGGTGGTGCAGTGAGCTGGCGCAGCAAGAAGCAGAACGAGGTGGGGCTGTCCTCGTGTGAGACAGAGTACATGGCCCTGCATCATGGGGCAAAGGAGGTGGTGTGGCTCAAGCGTTTGTTGGAGGAAATCGGAGTGTGTCAGAGGGAGCCGACTGTGATATTCTGTGACAATGAGTCGACGGTGAAGCTTGCGAAGAATGCTTGTCTTCATGGCCTGACAAAGCACATCAGGCCGAAGTGGCATTGGACGAGGAGGCTCCTGGACAAGGAGGTGCGGCTGGAGATTGTGAAGACTCAGCAGCAGGCGGCTGACATTCTCACCAAGCGCCTGGCAGAACCTGAGCATTGGAAGGGGATGAAACTTGCAGGAATGAGTGTGCATTGAATGTGCATGCATGATCTGAGGCATGTGGGATGATGGTAGGCAGCCAGAGGGGGAGTTTGTTGTGTGATGCTATCATTCGCATTCACGTCTGTCTGCCTCCCATCATATGTTCGTGCGTTGCATGCGTGGTGTGAGCGTGTGCAAGAATGTTGTGTTTGGTGTGGTTTGGATTTTCTGGGTGTATGTGAATGTGATCTTGCTTGAGCAGATATCTGAAATGACTCCCCTGCTCAAGAGCTTTCCGACGAGCCAAGGATTGCTTCAATCGGAGCACGAACGAGGAAGTTACGAACGGTTGAAGTTCGTATGCTCTTGAAATTCGGTTGTGGCGACTATGGGAAGTTGTGGGGTTTGCTCCATAAGGGGTATAGACTTTTGGGGTTGGGAAATTCGTAACTCCTACTGTAGATGCTGCCATGTGGTTGGGAGAAGCCAAACCAGGTTGGCAAGTGTGGCCAAGTTGGGGTGAGGTGGATTGTGGAGGTTGGGAAAGTGACAAATGTCAAAGTTGGGTTGCCTATGGGGAAGGGAATTGTGTGGCATGGGGTTTCCATGGTTGGGGACCCTCTTGGGACCTTCCCTCTCGTCCTCCTCTTCCCTCCCACCTGGTTTCTAGCTACTCTAATCTTCTTTGTGGAACTTGTGAGAACTCTTGTGATTGAGTTAAGTTTCTATGGCAGCTTACCCCCTAGTGCGTCGAAATTCATAACTCGAGTTATACTCCATCTTTGGATGCGATTCAAATTGGGAATGATAGCCACGGTCAAGGGCTACAACATAATCGAGTTTGAGAGAATTCCAACGGTTAAGTTTTCGTCGACGGCGTTTCTTGTGAAGTCGACATTTCTGTCCAGAGATTAGGTCCAACGATTTTGAGATATTTCGGCCCCTAAATGTTCTAGACTCCGTCCTTAGTCTCTAACATGTTTTACCCTTGAAAAAAAGGCCTTGGCAAGAACCATGACACAAAATTTAAATGGTAAATGCCATTTAGGGTACATTCCACTCATGACATATCCCCTAAGAAAGTGTCGCAATCAATTGTGACGTGTACATACAGCATATGCAAACAAGTGTCGGAATTCTGGACCGCGTGACAAAGTCGTCTAAAGTGATTATGATTGGATGACGTGAGCCTCAGAACAGTTGCCTGCTAATTGCACACAGGCGCGACTAGGACCCGCCATTCCACGCGGCCCCAAATGTCAGGCCCATGTGCCTGTACCTGGACATGGATTTACAGCTCGTAATTGTTGAATGAACGCGTACAACGAAATGGGATTGGTAATTCAGAGCTCGAAAACATCTTGACAATCCCCCGCATGTGATGCCCGCAAATCTCCTACCAAGGCCCAATACACATCCCCCCTCCTCCCATCTTTCCCTCCCTTCTTTCCCCGTGATGTACCACAGCCCTCCGCTCTGAAGCCTCATTGCTGCTGTTGGATCTATTATGTCACCTCTAGATCTGGAACATCGCACACAGAAGCCATGCCTTGGAAGCGTAAGGGCCAGGACCGTGACGACTGCCCCAAGGACCTCAACGAGATCCCCTACATCCGATGGATGAATGAGCAAATCGCCAACGGCCGTCTTCGCACTGGATTATCTGCTCTAGTTGCGCCAGACCCGCAGGGTTCTACTGCACAGTCGCCACGCGCAGGTCCGTCTCACGTGCGGCGTCAGCCAACCAGGCCCGCCGCGTCGCATCGGCCCGTCGCAGAGCCGGATGAAGATGAGTCTGACTCAGACTACCATGGCTATACAGTTGGCACCGATGATGATGACGACGAGGAGGACGATGACGGTCAGTCGGAGGACGAAAAAGGTGACGACGATGACGACGACGCCGCGGAAGAAGAGACGCAACCCGTGACACCGCCGCCTAAATGGAACGTCAGCAAGACAACCGACGCGGATAAGCAGAAGGGCAAAGCGCCAGCAGATGAACTCCGTCAAGTGCCAGCGAAAAAGCGGTCGCATGCCTGCGCGAGAAGAGTATGTGGTCGGACCGCAAAAATGTCATCTTCGTAGCCACTCGCTGGTTCACGAAGGACGAACATCCAGCCGCTCAAGGGAAAGTAGGGCACGCAATATTGGGCACGCCTTCTCGCTCATATCAAGAAGGAGAACCCCGACTGGATCCGAGGAATCAACGCGTTGAAGAAGCAGTGGCACAATCTCATGCTCCTCTGGAAAGAGCTCAGACGTGGCGATGGTGGGTCGGGAAATGGGTCGGTGGAAAAACCACCGTGGTGGCCCTACATGGAACTGTACAACAAGGACACCGCCGCTGCCGACCCGCATGCAGTCGACGACGGTGGAGCGACCAATGTCAACATGCAGGCCGACATGGAGTTGCCGACCTCCACTCAGCCAAAGACATCAACGCCGACTTTCACGGGTGATATAATTTTGAGCATGCACATGGCTTTTGTATGTGTTGGATCTTTACACATCAATATCAATGCATAGTTACAGTCATGCCATCAGCCCAAACTCAAGTACGCCACTTGCCACACCCTCTTATAGCCCCTCCTACACAAAACAGTCCGACTTCAAAACGCGCTAGGGTCCGCGAGACCGCGACCATGCAAGCCGCGGTGCTAGTCTCGGACACCATCAAGGTTTGTCACGGAGACGCCATGAGTCGGATTGAGAGCCTCGTCTACAAATGGATGCAACAAGACTTGCGCCTTGCCCACGAGCGGATGGCGGAATCACCTCCTCCCCAATCCACACGTGCAGAGTTCAACGACGGTCCACCGCTGCCTCGTGCTGCATCAGCACCACCTCCCGATCCACCGCGCCAGAATCCGAAGCTCAATATGCAATTCATCCTCGCGGCAAGGGTGGCGACGCCCACTCGGTTAACCCTGCTGAGGACGATGTTGAGATATAGGTGCGCAGCGCCGACGACTGAGGTAAGAATCCTGTAGCCGCCATTTCTTGTAGACTCCTCTCCTAACCGTTTCCGCCGTTCCCTCAACACCGGCTGTATTCAAGGACTGCATGGTTCCCACTTATGTTCCAGAATCACCCCCCTAGTCCACTATGGATCTCGGTTGCGTGGCAGGTTTGCCCATGCCATATTTGTGCGCCTCACACATGCCATGTGCTCGCACATGTTGTGCAGGATGACGCAGCACGAGGCGCCAGCGAGCACTCGCCATAACTTGCAATCGTTGCGGCCGGCAAAGAGATGCTAGCGGCCTTTGAAGGCCCCGATGCACTGCTCGACGGCCATGCTGGTAGCGCTCTGCTAGTACTTGAAACACTGTGCCCGATCTTCCATTAGTTCATCTCCGTGCGGGGCATGCAAGGGGGGTTAGGCAGAAATCTCTGAGGGGATATGCCGCATCCCCAACTATTTGGTACAAGGCTATATCCCCTTGTTGTAACCTTTCGAGTAGCACTGTTCTTCAACACGCGCTGGTTGTGAGCACTGCCAGGATACCCAATGAGATAGTCCCACATGATGCCGCGAGCATCACATGTGACCTGCAGCTGCATAGCATATGTGGACTTTCGGGTCCAATACTCTGCCTGGTGCCCCTCCATCCCCTTCATGTAGATGTGCGTCCCGTCTATAGCACCCACTACCACAGGTACCCCCTTTATGGCGCAAAACTCAGCTTCCATTTCTTGAAGCTCATCTCGGGTCGGAAAGCGAACCCAGTCGGCCTTGTAGACGGCCGGGAACTCCTTGAGGAAGATGTCGATAAGTTCATGGCACAGAGTTTTGGAGATGTCAAACATGTATGACATGTCCACGTACGAGATGCCACTGGCCAAATAGTTGATCGCGACAAGTAGTGCTGTGTCTATCGTGATTCTTGTCCTCTCAACGACTGGTTCCATGCAGTGGCGCATGCCCACTTTTATGTGTTCAAGGATGGCTCTGTTGATGCGGAACATGTCCCGCATATGCTGCAGGTCGTCAACCCACATCTGAAAGCGTTGACGCCTAACACGCGCACGGTGACGGCGGTTCTCCCCGCTGTCCTCTCCCCCTGATGACGAGGACTCGTTGTGGTCATCAATGATTCCAACTTCAATCATCCCGACGAAAGACTTGGCGATCGTTTCATGGAAAACCGTGTAGTAGGTGACCCATGCAACGAGCAGTCGAAGAAGAAACAGGATGCTCCGTGGCTCTGCCATGATGTCAGGATTGCTTGTGTTTAGCTTCTATCTTGCATCTTGTAGTGAATGAGTGGGGGAGTCGGGTGGTTTTCTACTTCGTGGTTGCGCTGTTGCAATTATTTGGGGTCAGCGGACTTTTCGCTGTTCCGTGACATATGTTGGATCAAGTGTGGCACCTGACTTTTGGCTGCCCGTGATGGTTCAGCGTAGGTTTACAAAGAGCGGGTCTCGCACGCAAGGGGCCAATCACAGGGCACCACTTGTAATTCTCGCATGATTGTGCTGGGTCGCAATACATTGACGCTTTGTGACATGAGGACGCAAGACATTTCGGTGCGACTCGGCCAAAAACTGATTGCGATACATTCTTAAGGGACATGTCCTGAGCAGAATGTACCCTTATAACATTTGTAGAAGCTACTTTTTAATAGTTACCGTGATCTAAGCAGTATACTGTAGCACCTTAATTACATTTGTCCAAAGTGCATGATTTGCGCGCCCCCCGTCACACCCCATCGCGACTCCTCCTCATCGCCACCCCGAAGCGACTGCCGCAATCCCTTGGTGTCACACCTTGCCACGCGTTGTCGGAATGATAGAAACAACGGAATGATTGACTAAGGAACAAGGGTGATACCAATAGAAACCCTAAAAGTGTTGTACCCTATATAGCCATTCTGACTACAGCCTAACTCAGAAACATGCAAATATGTTTGACACACCCCTTTAGGCAAAGTGAGGGGTAGCAAGAACAACAAGTGGTCACAACACCAATCAATCAAAGAAACAAAACGAAGCTCAGGGTGGATCTCGTAAACACCATACACTCCGTGCACAAGCAAGTGATCACATGTAGTGTTATAGTAGCAAGAGAAGTATAATGATCAAAACCTAGCATGTGTACACATACATATATCAAAGTAGACCAAGTATAAGATGAACTCAAGAGGCAAGCAAGTGAGGCAAAGTAAGAACAAGTCCAAGAACAGTGTAGAAACGTTGATCATCACTAGATTCAAGGGCCATTGTGAAAATATCAGCAGTGTTGCCCTCGAAGGAAACGTAGGCAAGGCGAACCTGACCACGCTGCTGCAACTATGCAACGAAAGGCAATGTGCGTCGTTCTATGCTCTGGTCTCTGCTCCTGACACAAGGCGATTATGGTTTTGTTGTGAGCAAAAAGAACCAGTGCATAACAAGACCGCTCACCCAAGTCGTTGAGCAGGTAGGTCAATCAGCGTAACTTCTGCACAACCATAACCCCAGCATAGATCTCGGCCTCACACGTGAAGATGAGCACAGAACACGAGCGAGTGGACCTCCACGAGACAAAACCAGCGCCAAGGCTGAAAGCGTAGCCTGTGAAGACCTGGAAGTCGTGTGGAGTGTCTTGTAAGCACAACTGGACCTCGTCTCCCAATCACAAACTCCAAGCCTGTGTACTGGCCAAGTAGCGCAGCACCCTCTGAGCAGCCTGCTAGTACTCAGGTTGGTATCTCCCGGGAGCAATGTAGCGAGCCAAGATGCTGAGAGGGTACGCAAGGTCAGGCCAATTGCACGTCATCAGGTACATGACGCAAACCACAAACTCTGGATACGGACTACTAGGCTCTACGGACTCGTCCAAAGGTGGAGCTGAGAGCGAGTGGGCTGTGCATAGGAGAAATGAAAGCGGAAGTGCGTCAGGACCTGCTGCACCATCTGTGACTGAGTCAGAGTGATGGTGCGTGCTGCAGTGTCCCGGGTGATTTGTGACCCATGATAGGTTCGCAATTCACCCAGGTTAGTGTAGGTGCGTCTCCTCTAGAGCTCGGCTTTTATACGAGCCAGTGCCAATAGTCGCAAAGACCAGGTCGTCGACGTACACAATGACGTAGAACGACTACAAAGCGGAGTCAGTGCGCAGAAATAGGGACGGGTCAACACTCGAAGGAGCGAAGCCCAGAGATGCTAGCGTCGTCCTCAGTGTGTCGTGCCACTCACAGAGCGCCTGGCAGAGCCGGTAGACTGGCTTTTAGAGGCTCCACAAGGTACCATCAGGAAATGACCAAGTAAAGCCAGGTGGTTGGCGCAACCAAATTTTCTCGTGGAGACTGCCTTGCAAAAAAGCTGTCGAGAAAGTCGAGCGAGTGCAGCTCGTAGTCATTATGTGCTGAACGTGTAGTAAACACACGAAGAGTCGTCATATTTGGGGTGGGGGAAAAGGTCTGAAAGAAGTCACATTGACCTCGTGTAGCGTAACGCGGCTTGAGACAAGCAGGCAACCCGACGGCCGCTTTACCCTGAAAATCTACTTGCCATCGATTATGTCGCCCTGGGAGGGGGAACTGCTTCAACGGAGGTTCCAGTGGACTTTCAGGATGGCATCTCTACTTCCATAGCCGTCTGCCACTTGCTTGAGTATGGACTCGCGATCGCCTTATCGCCGACCTCCCCCGTCCAAAGGAGGGTAGGCGAGGTCTTGGGCTGTGAGACACGGGGCCAGAGGTTAAGCTGATGAGCGCCGTATCGGACCGCAAAACAACCACAGGAAATGGGGAGCAGTTGCATTAATCATGGAGGTGTGATCAACCTCCATGATCAAGGCAATGCTTCGCTCAGCAATCCCATTCAACTCTGGTAAGGCCGGAAGCGTGAACGACTAGCGACAAAAATGCTTAAGGAGACGAGAGTCAAACTCGCCACCATGGTCAGAGTGAAGACGGAGCATCGGGAGGTCCTGCCATAACAGTGCGCTCAGTTGGCAATGAACAGTGCGGATCCTAGGAATTTGGAAAACACGAACGTCACCCTTATGCTCTAAGGAAAACATTATGGTGCAGCATGTTAAGTCGTCGACGAACAGCAGAAAGCAACGCTCTTGGTGCGGTGCACTGATGGGGGCAGGGCCCCACTCGCCCATGTGGAGCATCGGAAAAGGAGCAGTGGTTGGAGGAAACGAGGAGCAGTGAGAAGTAGAGCACTGCCGCCTCTTAACGTAGGGAGTGCACGGCGGTGCGAGTGACGGCGGGAGCAGGGAGGGAGCCCAAAGACAAAGAAACGCGACTGCATGCGACGGAGACACTGAAGAGAGAGGTGACCAAGACATTGGTGCCAGAGGAAAGACGGGTGCGTGAGTAGTTGACACGAGCAAGACATAGCTACCTTACCTGACGCAACCACTTGAGCTGACTCAGTGTGTAGTCTGTACGGCTTCCGTGTGAACGTGGCAAGGTGGTCTCTAGCCTTTGAGTCCGTACTTATCTCCACGCACTCGCCCCAGGAATGGTGGTGGTACCATCAGATTCTGGAGGTGAGCGGTACTTGTTAGAGTAGGCTAGAGCTCGATCAGGTCTTTATTTTGGTGTTCTTATATTATTTCTCTCTGCTTAGAGAGAGTTACGCATTCAGGTTCATTTTAGGTTCATTTCGTAGTTCTTAGTACAAACCGAACACACCCTAGGTTCAATTAGGGTTTCCAACCCTCTCTCTTTTGTATCTCGACATTGTTCTTCCTAGTCTAACTTTTTCGACTCTACCTAACTCTCGCCATCCATGGCTCCTCTCATCTTAACATGGTATTCAGAGCGTAGTCCTAGGCGTTTCATGTTTATCCGTATTTCTTAGATAATCTCCGGCCCTTAGGCCATTTCCGCGCTACTTAGCTAGACGGTTTTTTATTATCTCCTTTCTTTCCCGTCACTCTTAAAAAACGCATTTTTTGTCACATGATACTCTCTCGGATCCCTCAATCCAGTCCGTAGCGTGTCGCCATACCGAACTTATCACCCTCTCGCGCCTTCCCATTCGTCGCGCCTCCCCTCTCCTCCCGTTTCTGGCGATCGCGCGCCCATTTCCACCCAAAGCGCGCTCTGCCCCCCCCCCCCCCCCCCCCCCCCCCCCCCCCCCCCCCCCCCCCCCCCCCCCCCCCCCCCCCCCCCCCTTTCCCCGTCCCGTCGCGCACGCATTGCGCTCCCGCCGCCGCGCGCGCTAAGCACCGTCCAGCAGCGCGCGCGCCTGCCCTTCCTTGCGGCGCGCCCTGCCCTTCCTCAATCCGCCCCTTCCCTCACCCTCCTTCTCCTTCCCTCTCTCCTTTGTGCTTCCCCCACTACCTCACCTCTTCCTCCTCCTATTTTTCCTCCCCATCTGCTGCGGCTCGCAGCTCCTTGTGGCGCGCCCTGCCCTTACCACAATCCACCCCTTCACCCTCCTCCTCCTCTTCTCTCTCCCACTAGTTCCCTCTCCATTATCTCACCCCTCCTCCACCTCTTTTCTCTCTTCATCTGCTGCACCTGGTAGCTGATTGTGTTGTGTAGCTGTTGTTCCTCCACACCTTCCCTCCTCCTCACCATCCTCCTCTCAACTGCTCAACTGCAAATTCTTCACAATTCTCCCTCCTCCTCTTCTTTCTCCCTTCAGCGGCACAGCAGCAGACTTCTCCGCCGCTATCCCTCCTCCTCTGGTTTCTCCCCTCATCGGCGCAGCAGCAGACTACTTCGCCATTTTCCCTCATCCTCTTGTTTCTCCCCTCATCGGCTCACCAGCAGACTACTTCGCCATTTTCCCTCCTCCTCTGGTTTCTCCCCGCATCGGCTCAGCAGCAGACTACTCCGCCACTTTCCCTCCTCCTCTTGTTTCTCCCCTCAGCGGCTCAGCAGCAGACTACCCCGCCCTTATTCCTCCGCTTCTTATACCTCTCCTCACATCTGCTCTGCAGCTGTCTCCTCCTCCTTATGGCGACTTCTCTCGCCCTCCCCTCCCTCCCTCTGCTGGTCCTTCAGCTTGTGCCCGATGGCAGTGCAGTCAACTTCCCCAGTTGGCTGAACTGTCTTGAGCGCACGCTGTCTGGCACCCTCGTGAGTGGCTTTAACCTCTGGTTTGTCACTCAGCAGAGTGGTTCTGGCGCCATTCCTACCTTTCCCTCTGCACCCACCTCTTCCTCCTCTGACCCCTATGCTGATGGCCTCCGTACTGCCATTGCTGAAACTGAGCGGCTTGTCGCCACTGCGCAAGCCACCGCCACTGCTGCTCCTGACAATGCTGCTGCCCGTGACTTAGCTCGTATTCTTGCTGAGTCCCTCAAGAGCACCCGCAAGCGCCTCACTGAGCACCTTGCTGCCCCTTCTCCTCGCTCTTCCTCTACGCCCCTTTCCTCTGCTCCATCTCACTCTGACCTTCTCGCTGACTGGCATGTTGCCAACGCACGTGCCTGCCAGGTCATCCTTGCCCGCCTCCCTCCAACTCTTCTCCCTCAATGCTCGCACATCCGCTATGCCAAGGACCTTCTCGGCTATCTCACTGAGCGCTTTCAGTCACAGACTCCCATCAACGTCATTGCCCTCTTGCGCGAGCTCACATCTCTTCATCTTGCTGACTTCACCACCATGGCAGACTACATCGCTCGTGTGCACACGCTGTCCTCCCAACTTGCCGCTCAAAAGTTTGAACTTTCTGATCATGTCTGCGGTGCCCTTCTCCTCACGGGCCTCACTCCTGAATACAGTGTTCATGTCACCCTGTATGGTGAGCGCCCCGCCGACCAGTGGTCGTTCTCTCGTGTCTCTGCCTTCCTCCTCCAGGCAGAGCTCAACCTCCGCAACTTCCCTCCTACTGTCGCTGCTGTCACACCCTCTTCTGCCCCCCCTCCTCTCTCTCCACCACCACTGCCGCCGCTGCTTCCTCTCGCCCTCGCAACAACTTCCCTCCTTGCACCTACATCATTCGCCAGGGGCCCCGCAAGGGTCAGCCCTGCGGTCGCACCAATCATCCCGCCACCTCCTGCTTCCAGAAACTCACCGATGGTTGGTTCCTAGCTGGCAACACTGGTCGCCCTCCCAACTGGCTTCAACTCTCTCGTCAGCGTCGCCAGTCTTCTGCCCAGGCGGTCCTTGCGGCCGCCGACTCTGGTGCAAGTGCTCAGACCTCTGCTCTCAGTGTGACTATGCCTAGTCAGGATAGCATTCTGGGGGCTTCTCCCCTTATGGACCCTCGTTTTGCCATGATGTTTGCTCCTTCTGTTAATGGCAATGATTCTCAGTATCTTGGTCCCACAGCTGCTGCTATTTCTCTCCCTCACACGCTTGAGTTTGTTCTTGATAGTGGTGCTACTGACTCTGTCTTTCGTGATGCTGGTGTACTTCGCTCTTTTCCCCGTCCCCTCTCCATTCAAGGGGCTGGGGATACCATGACCATGACTTGCACTGCTACCTCTTCTCTTCCCTGTCCTGACTCCCCCTCTGGTGCTGTGACTGGCCTCTATGTTCCTTCCTACCGCCACGACCTTCTTTCTCTCTCTGCTCTTCAACGTCTTTGTGTGCGAGCTGTCTTTCCTGAATGTAACTCCTATTGTGATCTCTATCACCGCAACCGCCATCTTGCACGCTTCACTCTGTTTTGTGGGCCACCAGATTGATGGAGGCTTCGGTGTGGCCGGAGACGCGAAAGCTTGCCTCATACCATTCCAGGAACAACACAATGAGGTGCATCTCATCCGCGTCAAGGATGCCGTCAAAGACAAAGAGAGCGACCTGCGTCATGGCACGATGTTCCGCGGCCGAAAAAATAGCCCCACCCTTAAAATACCGGTCGGGTTTGGGTAACTTGAGCCCCGCTGCTCTCGTGACCTGATACAGAATGGCATGTCGCCTGGAACAAGGAAACATCTAGATGGCTCTAGACTGCCCGGGTAGTACTCACGGCCAGAGAATCGCAATACTCCAGCTCCACCGGTTCAGTCATTCCCTCTACCATCACCATCCGCTTTTTCCAAGTGCCGTGATGGAGCCCTAAGACATCAGTGGCGTAGCGATCGACGTCCTTGAGTCCGCCCCACGCACCCACATCGGCCCTGTTGAAGCCAGGGTGATTGATGAGCCTGAAGAATGCTTTAGTCTCATCCTTGGTCATGCCTACGCCATTCCGGAAGGACTTGATGAACTTAAACACTTCCCGTCTGGTATCAAATGATGCATTGACCGAGTCATCAGGCAGCATTTCTGAGACACCTTGAATAGGCGGTCTAGTGTCGGTAACCATCGCCTCTGGCTGCTCGGTGATGTTGGGATGGCAGTTGTGCTCTCCTGCGACGGGAGGTGGCGTCGTGTCATTATGTGGTTGCGCTGCATCTACGGTGTTCGCCTCGCCCTGCTCTCGTCTTAAGCTTGCCGCTCTGACTTCGCAGCAGGCATCTGCGATCCGGTGGTTGATGTGGGCAGATGATGACCCAAACTTGCGTTCGCATTTACAGTTAACCATAGATAGTACGAACAGAGGCAGCACTAAGGCGGTGAACAACATTTTCCGTCGTTCACGCAACAAAGCGCGAACGGAATGCGTGGTCCGGGTCATTTGCGGTTCTGCTGCCTTAATACGCCAGCCTAAAACGCCAGTCTTGTGGTGCAGGCTGAGTATCCCATCCTGCATTACACCAGTGGGAAGATGGGACTCCCCACGAAGGATTCCCCAAATGTGCACAACGCCGCGCGCATGTGCGCCATCGTGCGCAACTGGCTGAGGACCGCCATCCTGCAGTGGGCTGGGCAGGATGGTGGGCCAGTATGGGTGGCTGAAGAAGAGGCATGGCGGTATAGCCCCGGCAAGCACTTCCACGTCTTCATCAAGTACCCACCCTTGGATGAAGTGAGGAATTTGACGGTGGAGATTGTGGGGGATGAGAAGGAGGACAATGACTTTGCAGATGGTGATACAAGCCTGGATGGAGAGGAGGACGAGGACGAGGACGAGGAACTCTAGACCGTGTGTGCTGTTGGTTGTGTGCTTGTGTGTTGCCACTATTTATTGTTGATGTTTTTGTGGCTCCGTTTTTAATTTTAATGGAAATAAACCTGGCTGCATATTCATCATAGCTTAATGTATGTTGTATTGGATGCAGTGTAGGTTTTGTTACACGCGGTAACAAGTGTTACCCTGTAATGTAGGGCGTAGTCGCTACAATGTACTTAGTGATTATACACCCTTACTCTCTCTCTCTCTCGACGCTTCTATGTCGCTCAAACTCACCCACCGTTGCTCTCTCACTCCCTCCGCCTCCGTCTCTCTCTCTCTCTGGCACCCGTTGCTCTCTTTCTCTCTCTCTGTCCCCTTCCGTCGCTCTCTCTCTATCTCTCCTCCTCCCTTGCTTGAGCTCTCTCTCTCTCCGCCCCTTGCTCTCTTTCCCCGTCCCCCTCCCTTGCTCTCTCTTACTCCGCCTCCCCTGCTCTCTCTCTATTCCCCCCTCCCTTGCTCTCTCTCTTTCTCCGCCTCCCTTGCTCGAGATCTCTCTCTCTCTGTCCGCCTCCCTTGTTCTCTCTCTCTGTCCCCCTCCCCTGCTCTCTCTCTCTGTCCCCCTCCCTTGCTCTCTCTCTTTCTCCGCCTTCTTGGTCGAGCTCTCTCTCTCTCTCCGCCTCTAACGCTCTCTCTATCTCTCCGCCTCCCTTGCTCTCTCACTCTGCCCCCAACCCTTACTCCCTCTATCTCTCCGCCGCCCTTGCTCGAGCTCTCTATCTCTCCGCCTCCCTTGCTCTCTCTCTATCTCCGCCTCCATTGCTCGATCTCTCTCTCTCTTTCCTCCTCTGCCGCTCTCCCAATCTCTCCGCCTCCCTTTCTCTCTCTATCTGTCCCCCTCCCTTGCTCTCTCTCTCTGTCCGCCTCCCTTGCTCTCTCTCTCTGTCCCCCTCCATTGCTCTGTCTCTTTCTCCGCCTTCTTGGTCGAGCTCTCTCTCTCTCGCCTCTGACGCTCTCTCTATCTCTCCGCCTCCCTTGCTCTCTCACTCTGTCCCCCTCCCTTAATCCCTCTCTCTCTACGCCTCCCTTGCTCTCTCTCTATCTCCGCCTCCCTTGCTCTCTCTCTATCTCCGCCTCCCTTGCTCGAGCTCTCTCTCTCTCCTCCTCTGCCCCTCTCCCTATCTCCCCGCCTCCCTTGCTCGAGCTATCCATCTCTCCGCCTCCCTTGCGCTCTCTCTTTCTCCGCCCCCTTGCTCTCTCTCTATCTCCGCCTCCCTTGCTCTCTCTCTCTCTGTCCGCCTCCCTTGCTCTCTCTCTCTGTCCCCCTCCATTGCTCTGTCTCTTTCTCCGCCTTCTTGGTCGAGCTCTCTCTCTCTCTCTGCCTCTGACGCTCTCTCTATCTCTCCGCCTCCCATACTCTCTCTATCTCTCCGCCTCCCTTGCTCGAGCTATCCATCTCTCCACCTCCCTTGCTCTCTCTCTATCTCCGCCTCCATTGCTCGATCTATCTCTCTCTCCTCCTCCGCCGCTCTCCCTATCTCCCCGCCTCCCTTGCTCTCTCTCTCTCTGTCCCCCTCCCTTGCTCTCTCTCTCTGTCCCCCTCCATTGCTCTGTCTCCTTCTCCGCCTTCTTGGTCGAGCTCTCTCTCTCTCCGCCTCTAACGCTCTCTCTATCTCTCCGCCTCCCTTGCTCTCTCACTCTGCCCCCCTCCCTTACTCTCTCTATCTCTCCGCCGCCCTTGCTCGAGCTCTCTATCTCTCCGCCTGCCTTGCTCTCTCTCTATCTCCGCCTCCATTGCTTGATCTCTCTCTCTCTCCTCCTCTGCCGCTCTCCCAATCTCTCCGCCTCCCTTGCTTTCTCTCTCTGTCCCCCTCCCTTGCTCTCTCTCTCTGTCCGCCTCCCTTGCTCTCTCTCTCTCTGTCCCCCTCCATTGCTCTGTCTCTTTCTCCGCCTTCTTGGTCGAGCTCTCTCTCTCTCCGCCTCTGACGCTCTCTCTATCTCTCCGCCTCCCATACTCTCTCTATCTCTCCGCCTCCCTTGCTCTCTCTCTATCTCCGCCTCCATTGCTCGATCTATCTCTCTCTCCTCCTCCGCCGCTCTCCCTATCTCTCAACCTCCCTTGCTCTCTCTCTCTGTCCCCCTCCCTTGCTCTCTCTCTCTCTGTCCCCCTCCATTGCTCTGTCTCCTTCTCCGCCTTCTTGGTCGAGCTCTCTCTCTCTCCGCCTCTGACGCTCTCTCTATCTCTCCGCCTCCCTTGCTCTCTCACTCTGCCCCCCTCCCTTACTCTCTCTATCTCTCCGCCGCCCTTGCTCGAGCTCTCTATCTCTCCGCCTCCCTTGCTCTCTCTCTATCTCCGCCTCCATTGCTCGATCTCTCTCTCTCTCCTCCTCTGCCGCTCTCCCAATCTCTCCGCCTCCCTTGCTTTCTCTCTCTGTCCCCCTCCTTGCTCTCTCTCTCTCTGTCCCCCTCCATTGCTCTGTCTCTTTCTCCGCCTTCTTGGTCGAGCTCTCTCTCTCTCGGCCTCTGACGCTCTCTCTATCTCTCCGCCTCCCATACTCTCTCTATCTCTCCGCCTCCCTTGCTCTCTCTCTATCTCCGCCTCCATTGCTCGATCTATCTCTCTCTCCTCCTCCGCCGCTCTCCCTATCTCTCCGCCTCCATTGCTCTCTCTCTCTGTCCCCCTCCCTTGCTCTCTCTCTCTGTCCCCCTCCATTGCTCTGTCTCCTTCTCCGCCTTCTTGGTCGAGCTCTCTCTCTCTCCGCCTCTAACGCTCTCTCTATCTCTCCGCCTCCCTTGCTCTCTCACTCTGCCCCCCTCCCTTACTCTCTCTATCTCTCCGCCGCCCTTGCTCGAGCTCTCTATCTCTCCGCCTCCCTTGCTCTCTCTCTATCTCCGCCTCCATTGCTCGATCTCTCTCTCTCTCCTCCTCTGCCGCTCTCCCAATCTCTCCGCCTCCCTTGCTTTCTCTCTCTGTCCCCCTCCCTTGCTCTCTCTCTCTCTGTCCGCCTCCCTTGCTCTCTCTCTCTGTCCCCCTCCATTGCTCTGTCTCTTTCTCCGCCTTCTTGGTCGAGCTCTCTCTCTCTCCGCCTCTGACGCTCTCTCTATCTCTCCGCCTCCCTTGCTCTCTCACTCTGTCCCCCTCCCTTAATCCCTCTCTCTCTACGCCTCCCTTGCTCTCTCTCTATCTCCGCCTCCCTTGCTCTCTCTCTATCTCCGCCTCCCTTGCTGGAGATCTCTCTCTCTCCTCCTCTGCCCCTCTCCCTATCTCTCCGCCTCCCTTGCTCGAGCTATCCATCTCTCCGCCTCCCTTGCGCTCTCTCTTTCTCCGCCTCCCTTGCTCTCTCTCTATCTCCGCCTCCTTGCTCTCTCTCTCTCTCTCTGTCCGCCTCCCTTGCTCTCTCTCTCTGTCCCCCTCCATTGCTCTGTCTCTTTCTCCGCCTTCTTGGTCGAGCTCTCTCTCTCTCCGCCTCTGATGCTCTCTCTATCTCTCCGCCTCCCATACTCTCTCTTTCTCTCCGCCTCCCTTGCTCGAGCTATCCATCTCTCCACCTCCCTTGCTCTCTCTCTATCTCCGCCTCCATTGCTCGATCTATCTCTCTCTCCTCCTCCGCCGCTCTCCCTATCTCTCCACCTCCCTTGCTCTCTCTCTCTCTGTCCCCCTCCCTTGCTCTCTCTCTCTCTCTGTCCCCCTCCATTGCTCTGTCTCCTTCTCCGCCTTCTTGGTCGAGCTCTCTCTCTCTCCGCCTCTAACGCTCTCTCTATCTCTCCACCTCCCTTGCTCTTTCTCTCTGTGTCCCCCTCCCTTGCTCTCTCTCTCTGTCCCCCCCATTGCTCTGTCTCCTTCTCCGCCTTCTTGGTCGAGCTCTCTCTCTCTCCGCCTCCCATACTCTCTCTTTCTCTCCGCCTCCCTTGCTCTCTCACTCTGCCCCCCTCCCTTAATCCCTCTCTCTCTACGCCTCCCTTGCTCTCTCTCTATCTCCGCCTCCCTTGCTCTCTCTCTATCTCCGCCTCCCTTGCTCGAGCTCTCTCTCTCTCCTCCTCTGCCCCTCTCCCTATCTCCCCGCCTCCCTTGCTCGAGCTATCCATCTCTCCGCCTCCCTTGCGCTCTCTCTTTCTCCGCCTCCCTTGCTCTCTCTCTATCTCCGCCTCCCTTGCTCTCTCTCTCTCTGTCCGCCTCCCTTGCTCTCTCTCTCTGTCCCCCTCCATTGCTCTGTCTCTTTCTCCGCCTTCTTGGTCGAGCTCTCTCTCTCTCTCTGCCTCTGACGCTCTCTCTATCTCTCCGCCTCCCATACTCTCTCTATCTCTCCGCCTCCCTTGCTCGAGCTATCCATCTCTCCACCTCCCTTGCTCTCTCTCTATCTCCGCCTCCATTGCTCGATCTATCTCTCTCTCCTCCTCCGCCGCTCTCCCTATCTCCCCGCCTCCCTTGCTCTCTCTCTCTCTGTCCCCCTCCCTTGCTCTCTCTCTCTGTCCCCCTCCATTGCTCTGTCTCCTTCTCCGCCTTCTTGGTCGAGCTCTCTCTCTCTCCGCCTCTGACGCTCTCTCTATCTCTCCGCCTCCCTTGCTCTTTCTCTCTGTGTCCCCCTCCCTTGCTCTCTCTCTCTGTCCCCCTCCATTGCTCTGTCTCCTTCTCCGCCTTCTTGGTCGAGCTCTCTCTCTCTCTCCGCCTCCCATACTCTCTCTTTCTCTCCGCCTCCCTTGCTCTCTCACTCTGTCCCCCTCCCTTAATCCCTCTCTCTCTACGCCTCCCTTGCTCTCTCTCTATCTCCGCCTCCCTTGCTCTCTCTCTATCTCCGCCTCCCTTGCTCGAGCTCTCTCTCTCTCCTCCTCTGCCCCTCTCCCTATCTCCCCGCCTCCCTTGCTCGAGCTATCCATCTCTCCGCCTCCCTTGCGCTCTCTCTTTCTCCGCCTCCCTTGCTCTCTCTCTATCTCCGCCTCCCTTGCTCTCTCTCTCTCTGTCCGCCTCCCTTGCTCTCTCTCTCTGTCCCCCTCCATTGCTCTGTCTCTTTCTCCGCCTTCTTGGTCGAGCTCTCTCTCTCTCTCTGCCTCTGACGCTCTCTCTATCTCTCCGCCTCCCATACTCTCTCTTTCTCTCCGCCTCCCTTGCTCGAGCTATCCATCTCTCCACCTCCCTTGCTCTCTCTCTATCTCCGCCTCCATTGCTCGATCTATCTCTCTCTCCTCCTCCGCCGCTCTCCCTATCTCTCCACCTCCCTTGCTCTCTCTCTCTCTGTCCCCCTCCCTTGCTCTCTCTCTCTCTCTGTCCCCCTCCATTGCTCTGTCTCCTTCTCCGCCTTCTTGGTCGAGCTCTCTCTCTCTCCGCCTCTGACGCTCTCTCTATCTCTCCGCCTCCCTTGCTCTTTCTCTCTGTGTCCCCCTCCCTTGCTCTCTCTCTCTGTCCCCCTCCATTGCTCTGTCTCCTTCTCCGCCTTCTTGGTCGAGCTCTCTCTCTCTCCGCCTCCCATACTCTCTCTTTCTCTCCGCCTCCCTTGCTCTCTCACTCTGTCCCCCTCCCTTAATCCCTCTCTCTCGACGCCTCCCTTGCTCTCTCTCTATCTCCGCCTCCCTTGCTCTCTCTCTATCTCCGCCTCCCTTGCTATCTCGTCCCCAAGCCCCCTCTCGTTCCTACCCTCTCTCTCTCTCTCTCTCTCTCTCTCTCTCTCTCTCTCTCTCTCTCTCTCTCTCTCTCTCTCTCTCTCTCCCTCCCTCCCTTGATCTGCACCTTGTACTCTTTCTCACTCATTGTCCCATGCAGGTCTTCGCGGCTGTTCCAACACCACACTTGGCGTTATCCCTTGTGACAGTCCAGCACACTCCAGATTGGTCAAGGTATTCCAACCCGCTTGCGCTCCTCCTCTACCCTTTTCTATTTGCCCCATCTGCAATCTTTCTGACCCATCCGCAATCACTTTGCCCCATCTGCATTCTCTCTGCCCCATGTGCATTTTCAGTCCACCAATAGCCATTCTCTCTCTGCCCATCCGCTCCCTATCTGCCCAAACCGCCCTTCCTTTGCCCCATCTGCTTTCTCTCTGCCCAATCCCCGCCCTCTCTGCCCCATCCAACTGCCCCCAATCTCAGATGAGCTTCCTCTACCCCAACTGCAAGCGATGCACCTTTTTGACCCAGGCTGGCATGGAGAGTCACATGCGCAGCTCAACATGCCCTGCCAATATTGCCATGTCACATCAACCCTACTTCACAAGCAGCCATAGCCTGCACAAGCGGCCCCGCCACCAACCCCTGGCCCCCAATCCCATTCCTGATTTTTCTCGACGTATGGAATGCACGGGCGGGAATGTTTCGCTTTTCGACATTACGAACAACAGTGCATCTTCCTCGTGCAGTTCTAGTGATGCTGAAAATGTGAGCCCGCCTTGTGATGCGGATGATTATGTTGCGCACGATGACCACCCCGCAGTGGTCGGAGAGGGTCAGCAAGTTGAGTCATCAGCCGAACCACCATTCAACGGCAAGGACGCACTTGCCCATTGGTTGTTGGCGAACAACATATCCCAAAAGGCAATCAAGACATTGTTTGACATACTCTTCCACCAAGCATTTCAACTCTCGCAGATGGTTGGATGGAAGTCAGCTCGGGATGTCCAACAATACCTTGAATCACTTGCGCCCGACAAGCATCGAGGATGGAGACGCAAGACCGTGCGCGCTGGAAACAAGGCATGGGTTGAGTATTGGTATTGTGACGGCCTTGTTGCGTTGCAGGATTTGTTGAAACATCCAAAACTGGCTTCTAAGATGACGATGGAATCACATGTCGTTATGGACGGTGACACGCGGGTGTATTCTACGCTCGAAACAGCATTGTGGTGGGAGACAATCCAAGAGAAAATACGAGAAGTCAACCCGGAGGGTGTGGTGGCCGCACTCATTCTTGCAAGTGACGAGACACATATGGACCAGAGAGGGAAGGCTAAGGGTCATCCAGTGTATCTCACACTTGGGAATATTGACAAAGAGGACAGGTGGAAGCCGTATGGGCATGGTTTGCTTGCTTTGCTTCCTGAATACCCCCAAGAATATGACTCTCTAGATAAGGCACAAGTGTTTCACTATATTATGAATGAGGTGATGGCGGGGTTGAAGCATGCATCCCATACTGGTGTAAATATGGTGGATGCAGAGGGCAAGGTTATCAATGTTTGGCCATTGATGTATGCACATGTTACTGATTACCCCGAGTCGTGCAAGGTAACTTGCACAAAGTCGGGTACGACTTCATTTCCTTGCTTGCTATGCAAGGTGCCAAAGGAGAAGCTGCCGCAACTTGCCGTGCTTCCCGATATAATGCACCAAGCTGACCTTGGCATTTTTGAGCACATAGTTGATAGCATACGCGCGCACGTTAAGGAGTCGTTTCCTGCAAAGATGAAGTTGTTAGATCAACGCCTAAAAGAGATTAGAAAGTCATTGAGGGGGGGGGGCATGAGGTTGCCATCGGGAGAATATTTTGCAAAGGGGGCAAACTACTAGGCCTACGAGCATCGTTCGGTGATGCAAGTTCTACCTTTCATTGCGAAAGGGTGCATTAATGACCATCAGATGGAGGCTTTGGTTTCATACGTCGAGTGGTATTTGGAGTGTGCACGGGCGTGTGAGCACAGCGAGAAGAGTCTTCCCGAATTGAAGACCAAGGCACACCGGTGAGTGAAGTTCCCTCTAATGCGTGACATGTCTTGTTTATACACCCTCCGGTTGCATTCTGATCCATTCACTCTTTCTTCTGCAGGTTGATACACGGCTTGACAACGCATTTCAAGCAGGCATCCGATTGGAACTTCATCAAAATGCACCTCATAAGTCACTTCATAGACTCGATCCGTCGTGCAGGACTGCCAGAGCACTACTCCGCCCAACTCTACGAGCACTTGCACATAGACTTCATCAAAACACCATATCGCGCATCTAACAAGCGCACTGTGAACGCACAGGTTGTACAGAGCGAGGAGCAGCGCTTGCGGTTGCAAGCAATCGCACCCATGCTTGGAGCGAAAAAGACGTACGACACAGAGATGATCAAGGTATGGGTCTAGTGATAATTATGTCTTCTCCTTTGCATCCATCGTTCGTTAACACGGTTTAACGTTGTGGTATATTTCCACATACCCCTGCAGGCCCAAAGGACGGGCGTGCGGGTGCTGCCTCGTCGATCCTGGCTCCTCCACGTTCCTCGAGGCAGGGAGGCGGCACCTTTTTGCATTCCGAATGCGCCACAGGCGAATCGTGATGCGATGCTCGAGAAGGAGATGCGCCACAGCTTTTCACGAGCCCGACGGCCCTGCCCGTGAGTTCCCACCAGCAGCTTCTCTCGAGCTCTCACCCCAACCGTCCTCGTCCCGCGACTCCAAAGCAGCAGCCTTTTACAACTCCCCAGCAGCAGCAGCAGCTGCCTGTCGGGAACCTGCAGCAGCAGCAGCAGCCTGTTGCTTCCCAGCAACAGCAGCAGCCTGCTGCTTCCCAGCAGTCTGCTGCTTCCTAGCAGCAGCATCATCCTTTTGCGTCCCAGCAGCAGCAGCAGCCTATTGGTTTCCAGCAGCAGCAGCAGCAGCAGCAGATCTGTTGGTTTCCAGCAGCAGCAGCAGCAGCAGCAGTCTGTTGGTTTCCAGCAGCAACAGCAACAGCTGTCTGTTGGTTTCCAGCAGCAGCAGCAGCAGTAGTCTGTTGGTTTCCAGCAGCAGCAGCAGCAGCAGCAGCAGCAGTCTGTTGCTTCCCAGCAGCAGCAGTCTGTTGCTTCCCAGCAGCAGCAGCTGCAGCAGTCTGTTGCTTCTCAGCAGCAGCAGCCTTTTGCTTCCCAGCAGCAGCAGCAGCAGTCTGTTGCTTCCCAGCAGTAGAAGCAGCAGCCTGTTGCTTCCCAGAAGCAGCAGCAGCAGCCTGTTGCTCCTACCCAGCAACACCAGCAGCACAATCTTGAGTTCCTCGCTGATGCAACCACCGGCGCGCTGGCTGGGGATTTATTGACGAATAACCGCTCCGCCTTCGACAAGGTGCTAGACGAGGAGCTGGACGAGGAGCTGGACGAGGCACAGGACGAGGAGCAGGACGAGGATGAGGAAGAGGATTCTGAGGAAGAAGCTGGCGACGAACAGCAGCAGCAGCAGTTTTCTCAGCAGCAGCAGCTTGCTCAACAGCAGCTTGCTCAGCAGCAACAGATTGCTCAGCAGCAGCAGCTTGCTCAGCAGCAGCAACAGCTGGTCGGCGAACAAAACGGCGCCGTCCGCGGAACTCGATCGGAAGGTGAGTGTATTCTTGGAACATTCGACTTGTTTTATTTTCCATCTGTGATGATAAATTTCCAATTCATTGTTATTTCATACTAAACTCGTCGGTGGTTCCTCTTTGTAGGTATCAATGCGTACTGGGTCAGACACAATCGCGGACTGCAGGCGCAGGTTGAAGATCTTAAATCAACAGTTGACATTCTACAGATTTCTCAAGTTGAGGCGCAGCAGAAGCTCGCCGCCGTCGAGGCTGAGTGCGAAATCCTCCGTTCCCGACTGGCTGAGCTTGAGGAGCAACAGGTGGGCGGAGTACCAGACATGTCTTCAGAAGGCCCCGAGGTCAACCCGGCGAATCTCACAAGGGACAACAATGGTAACGTTATTTTGAAGACGAGCCTCCTGCCGAAGGATTTCGCCGTAAGTTTCGTTTCTTGAGTTGGAACATGCGCTGTTTGACCATCCGTTTGTTCATTTTATGTGCTTGTATTTAGTGGGCCGTACTGTAATCATCTGTTTTTTATTATGTTTCTGCTGTTTTCCCTTTCATCCCGACCGCAGATAAAGGCTCTGGAGACGTTCACGTGGCTGATAACAGATGCGCCAGTGGAGTGCATGGAGTTCTAAGTCTTCCAACCTCATCTCATCACCAAGTACCGGCTGTGTGGAGTGAATCGCGACGAGTATTTCTACGCGACAGGCGGTAGTAGAATCGAGTTCGAGAAGCTGGTGATGAAGGTAATCAAAACGAAACGTTCAAACAGCCACAAGAAAATTCGTTTCTATGCATGGGGTGCGGGTGGCTTGGTGGATGAGAGCAAGTGGGTATTGCTGGCGGTGGAGCAGATCATTCCGTCCAGGAAGCGCACAGAAATGAAGTGGCTGGAAGACTTCAGGCACGGTAAGAATTACGGTATTACTGTTGTATGTTTCGGTGTTTTTACACTAAACTAATCTACATGTTGTTTCTTGTGCAGCTGTTCTTGGATATTCGTGGCATGTTAATGGCGAAGGGATTCCCTTCGCCAACATTGCTTTGAGAAGGCAGCTTTGGCTGCATTCTCTGTTGTCACGTCCACCCTGGTCTTCGTGAAGATTCCCATGCTGGCTTACCTTTGTGTTGTGGTAGGTTCTTTGCTTAGAAATTTAACGTTACCTGTAGCGTAACCACTAACAGTTGCTTCTTGTGCATGCGTGCAGGTTGAAGCTCCCCCTTGAAAGCTACAGGCCAGGGAATGGCCAGCCTTCTCTTGGTGGTGTTCCGCTGACCAACAGTAACTTGGTCCGTGCCAAGACTACTGCTGTTGTGGCGGCTCTGCACGCTGCGATGGTTAACAATCCCACCTGCTTGAAGCAGGATGATCCCAAGGGCTTGGTGCTGGGTTTTGGAAAGGTGTGAATTCCTATTGAAGGATGGGAGCGTGTTTTTCTATAGTTTTTTCTGGTAGTGTGTACGTAAGTTGTTAAAATCCCGAAGCGCTTTTTAACCACTCATGTGTACTAGTTTCAGATTAATTTTCTAATATTAGGAAATTCAAATTATAAATATTGGAACAGATTTTTTTCTGTATTTCACATTTGAAACATTTTATAACGTTAATATTGGGTGGGAATCTTGCAACCCTGCTACCGTTAAATTAGAGCTGTGTAACAAATCAGGTTACTAGGTTACTAGCATAATCCAGAATGATTAATTATAAGTGAAAAAGTTTCCGAATCCAGGAGAGGTCGTTCAATTTGTTACGTGTTACACACTGGTAACAAACACTTTTCTGTTTTTTCGCCTCTGCTTTTGACGCGATGGTAATTCGACTCCAACCACGGTATAGAATACTCGGTTGAAAAGTGTATTGCTGTAACAGTTACAGATGGTAACATTCGCGTCCAGCGATTTTCGGGTGCCAGCACTTCGACGATCTAAAACCCTGTTTACTACCAACATCTCGCCAGATATTGGGGGTGGTGTGGATCGTGGTTGGCCCTTCAGGTCGTTTACCACCCAACCTTCCCCATTCGCAAACGATCGTAAACTACCACCCAACCCCAATCAACCCCAGCGCACGCTCCAACACTATAGCTGAACAAACGGGCGTATATGCTGGTTCGGACACCCCCCCGTTTTCCATACACAAAGGGCAATACCGTAGGTGGTTTATTGCCCTCGGGGTGAATCATGGTTTGCACAACACAAACCACGCACAAGAAGGCGTTTACGATCCAAAACGCCTTCTACAAATTTCTGATGCCGTCGCTCATGAATCCTCATCCCGTCGCCCATGCATCCCCATCCCGTCGCCCACGCATCCCCATCCCGTCGCCCACGCATCCTCATCCCGTCGCCCACGCATCCCCATCCCGTCGCCCACGCATCCCCATCCCGTCGCACACGCATCCCCATCCCGTCGCACACGCATCCCCATCCCGTCGCCAACGCATCCCCATCCCGTCGCGCACGCATCCCCATCCCGTCGCCCACGCATCCCCATCCCGTTGCACACGCATCCCCATCCATCACAAAAATGTAGAGGGCGTTTTGGGTGATAAACGCCCTCCTGTGCCTCGTTTGTGTTGTGCAGACTGCGATTTACTTCGAAGGCAGTAAACCACCAAGGGTATTGCCCTTTGTGATTCGAAAACGGCGGGGGGTCCGAACCAGCATATACGCCGGTTTGTTCAGCTACAGTGTCGGAGTGTAATGTGGGGTTGATTGGGTTTGGGCGGTAGTATACCACAGTTCGCGAATGGGGAAAGTGCAGTGGTAAACTAGCTGAGGGGTCAACCGCGATCCACACAGGCCCCCATTTATGGCGAGATGGAGGGGGTAAACGACTGTAGACGACCGTTTACGATCGTCGAAGTGGCGGCATCCGGAATTGCACGACTGTTACCACCTGTAACAGTAACAACAATACACTTTTCTATCGAGAGTTCCTAGAGTGCTTTTCAGTTAAGCAGCGTAATTTTTTTATGTGTTTGTAATCTGGTAACAGGACTTGTAACTAAGCTGGCCTGGTAACCAGTTTAACAGTAACCTGGTAACAATTTTGCTACGCTATATTCATTTCATGATTATTTGAAAATGGTTTCATAATTTTCAAAACTTCAATAATTAGAGTACAAGTACAACCTTGCCAAACCCACATTAACACAAAAACAGATCTACACAACTACAAGAAACCACTACATAAACACACACTCCCAGCCCTCAATCTAGACACATAGATAACACTTGGCTAGCTGCACAACAGGAGTGACGGTGAGTGAGAAAGAAAAAAAAATCATGGAAGCCTTACAGGCACGACCTTGGCGTGTTTGGAGTTCATATCTTCAGTAGGTGAACATGATATTACAGGCGACCTGCAAAACAACATCAACGAAACAAACAAGGGACTCTTAGGAGACTAGCGTGACTGAGTTCTTACCGCACCTTACAAATGGTAGCGTGCGTATCTCCAATGCAAGCGCTTATTTTGCACGCCTGTAAAGATTAAAACAGAACAAAACTGAACAGGTTAATCGCAAAATTAGTAACTGTAAGAACACGATCTCACGTCATATGTGTGGCAGAAAGAATTACGCAGGCTAAACCGAGCAAGAATAGCAAGATTATTAACTGACGTGGCTTGGTTGGCGCGGACAACTACGTAACCATATGAGTCGAGAACGATGGACAGGAGAAATAACACTTGGGAAATTCGAAACGCTTACGAAGACGGCAGTCGTACCTCAAGAAGGAACTAGTCTCGGGGTAGGTGGAGTCATGGGAGCTGGCTGACGGGAGCAGACACATCGACCGAGCAGAAACTAATGAGTAAAGAATGACGGGGAATGCTGGAGTAATAGGCGTCGAGGAAGATGTAAAGGAGGGAGGAACAAAGAAGAGCGAGTGCTGGGGGTGTGTGTGAACCTCCAAGAAAGTGGGAGAGGGGGGGGAGGGTGAGGTCGAGTTCGCGCACCGCCAGGAATGAATTGGATTGGAATCCACTAGAAGCAACCAGCGTGGCATAGAAATCCTCGCGTGGCAAGAGACGTGCTGCCAGAGATGGCAAAAGGAAACTTGATTCGTCGAGAGTTATCCCTGTGTGCGTTGGCAGGTTTGTTCGACTGCCAGCGCAGCTGGTAACATTTGAACCTAGTCGAACCACGTGCTGGAGGGATACACCGCGTGTACAACGATGCACTGCTCGGCAATCGTATTGGCGGGGTGGGCTGTACTGCTGCCAGCTCGAGCTAGTAGTTTGAGAAACTGCAATGCTATCGGTTTCTCTAACCGACTGTACACAATATTTTTCGCCAAAACCAACCCGCTAGCTGGCTCAATTGTTTTTCAGACCCGAATTTGAAAGTAGGAAATGAAACAAAGAAACTGTCACAAATGATAACAAATGTAGGCAATATCTTATAACTAGCACAAATAGTAAGATTTCTTACTGCATTTTCCTTAGTTTTAAACGAATAAAATGATCATACAAACAACTCCTTAATTAACTTCATACACCCTAGCATGTTTGCGAAATTTAACAGAGTCATTACAATAAATCCGCACAACCCATAGGGCGATATGCTCTACAGATCTGGTTCCGTTCGCAGCTTCTGAAAGGATAATATGGTGTTTTAAACAATTGAGCAAGGAAAACTATGCAATGATATACATGTGCGACATGCGATGCGTACATAGTTCAATGGTCAAAAGAAACATCATTTACCATTGGCAGGGTAATTGATTGAACTACTTGAATATGTGAAGAAATGGATCTAAACAAATCGATTAAACGTTGAAACGGTGACATGTTGAGTACATGCCTTGTACGCATTCATGCCAACAAACATACGAACAAGCGTCAGAAGCTGCGTAGTTGTGCTAACGAGCAACAATGAGTTCCTAACTTAAGGGAATAGGATGTAATACCTGAAAGTGTGATGAAACAGTGGTAAAAAAGGCATCCGGACGTTTGCGAGCTCACATGTTGCGCATAGGCCTATCCTCGCACAGATTCAGGCCAGCAAACACGCAAACATGCACCGCGTGCTGCATGGTTGTGCTAACGAGGTGAAACCAGTTCCTACGGCTGGGTAATAGGATGTAGTAGGGAACAGTGTGAAGAAATAGTGGTAAAAAAGGCATCCAGACGTTGGCGAGCTGACATGTTGCGCACAGGCCTATCCTTGCACAGATTCAGGCCAGCAAACGCACAAACATGCACCGCGTGCTGCATAGTTGTGCTAACGAGGTGAAACCAGTTCCTACGGCTGGGTAATAGGATGTAGAAGGGAACAGTGTGAAGAAATAGTGCTAGAAAAGGCATCGAGATGTTGGCGAGCTGACGTGTTGCGCACAGGCCTATCCTCGCACAGATTCAGGCCAGCAAACGCACAAACATGCGCCACGAGCTGCGTAGTTGTGCTAACGAGGTGAAACCAGTTCCTACGGCTGGGTAATAGGATGTAGTAGGGAGCAGTGTGGAGAAATGGTGCTAGAAAAGGCATCCAGACGTTGGCGAGCTGACATGTTGCGCACAGGCCTATCCTCGCACAGATTCAGGCCAGCAAACGCACAAACATGCGCCACGAGCTGCGTAGTTGTGCTAACGAGGTCAAACCAGTTCCTACGGTTAGGTAATAGGATGTAGTATGGAGCAGTGTGAAGAAATGGTGCTAGAAAAGGCATCCAGACGTTGGCGAGCTGACATGTTGCGCACAGGCCTATCCTTGCACAGATTCAGGCCAGCAAACGCACAAACATGCGCCACGAGCTGCGTAGTTGTGCTAACGAGGTCAAACCAGTTCCTACGGTTAGGTAATAGGATGTAGTAGGGAGTAGTGTGAAGAAATGGTGCTAGAAAAGGCATCCAGATGTTGGTGAGCTGACATGTTGCGCACAGGCCTATCCTTGCACAGATTCAGGCCAGCAAACGCACAAACATGCGCCGTGTACTGCGTAGTTGTTCTAACCAGGTCAAACCAGTTCCTACGGCTAGGTAATAGGATGTAGTAGGGAACAGTGTGAAGAAATGGTGCTAGAAAAGGCATCCAGATGTCAAACTATATGTGCTGCATATTGTCTAGGCTGTAGTGGGGTAGCCCATATGGGGTACAACCTAGTTAGGGTTTACTACTTGTACTCCTGCATCCTGTTAGTTCATCCATTCCTGCTGCTAGATTCTAACATGGTTTCAGAGCACTAAGGTCCGTAGGACCGTTTTTTTTTCGGGCCCACCTACCGCTGCGGTTACCGCGCTACCCCACGTAGCCTTGCCTTGCCTTGTATGCCTTGCCTTGCCTTGCCTTGCCTGCGCGCTTCCCCTAGAGGCCCGTAAGGCCCGCGCGCCGCCTCTACACGCCTGTCGGGCCCGCACACACGCTGCTACCGCGCGCTGCCCGCACCGAGATCGCGCAGCCCGCCCCGAGTCGCGCGCAGCCCGCTGCAGCCACGCGCAGCCCGCACCGAGCCGCGCGCAGCCCGCTGCAGCCGCGCGCAGCCTGCACCGAGCCGCGCACAGCCCGCTGCAACCGCGCGCAGCCCGCACCGAGCCGCGCGCAGCTCGCAGCTGCCGCGCGCAGCCCGCGCCGAGCCCGCGCAGCCCGCGTCGAGCCGCGCGCGGCCTGCTACGGCCTCGCGCAGCCCGCGCGCGGCCCGCAGCAGCTCGTGCCGAGCCGCGCGAGGCCTGCTCCTGCCTCGCACGGCCCGCGCGCGGCCCGCAACAGCCCGCGCCGAGCCGCGCGCGGCCCGCTACTCCCTAGCGCGGCCGCGCGCGGCCCTTTGCCTCGGCCCCGACCTGCCGCTGATGCGGCCCCGCCCAGCAGCTGCCATGGCCCCGACCTGCCGCTGATGCGGCCCCGCCCTGCAGCTGCCACGACCCCGACCTGCCGCTGACGCGGCCCCACCCTGCTACTGCCGCTGACGCGGCAGCGCCCTCCAGCTGTTTCGGCCCTGCTCTGCAGCCGGTTTTGCGGCCCCGACGTCGCCGCTGTCGTGCGCCTACTCGAGCGCCGGCCCTGCTCTCCCAGCCTTTGGTGAGCGCCTGCCTGCCTGCCTGACGGCCTGCCTGTCTGCCTGCCTGCCTGCCGGCCTGGCTGCCTGCCTGCCTGCCGGCCTGCCTGCCTGCCTGCCTGTCTGCCTGCGTGTCTACTTGCCTGCCTGCCTGCCTGCCTACCTGCCTGCCTGTCTGCCTGCCTGCCTGCCTGCCTGGCTGCCTGCCTACCTGCCGGCCTGCCTGCCTGCCTGCTTGCTTGCCTGCCTGCCGCGCCTGCCTTTCCTGCGCTACTGCTACTGGCAGGTGGCCAGATGCAGCTCCAGCGACATTCACGCGAGCCTCTGACGCCTCAGCAGCTTAGTGAGTGGTATACTAGCTGGGGTTGTCGCGGTAGCCGTCGTAGCTGTCGCCCTGGAGCTGGTCAGTTGGGAGCGTCTGGCAGTGGCCAGCTGCAGCTGCAGGGACGTCCACGTGAGACACTTACGCCCCGGCAGCTCCAGGAGTGGTACGCTCAGTGTAGCAGGTCTACGCGTACAGTCCGCTGCCCGTACGTCATTCGCACAGGTGCTAGGACTGGTCAGCCTTGTGGGACGCTTGGTCACACACAGTCCCGCTGCTTCGCCCGTCTGAGCGACGACTGGCGCACAGTGTTTGGCGACGAGGCTGAGCTCCCCACGTGGCTGGAGCTGCATAGACAGAGGGTAGATATCTTTGCGCTTGACTATGATGCTATTCTCACTGCCATGTATGCATTGTCTACTAGTGCTGACCGTGCCTGTTGCCTGTGCGTACCGCCTGACCCTGGTGAGGCTGCTGCCCTAGGTGCTAGTGCGTCTCCTGCTCTAGGTGCTGGTGAGGCTGCTGCTCTCGGTGCTAGTACGTCTACTGCTCTAGGTACTGGTGAGGCCGTGGCATCAGGTGCTGCTGTGTCTGCTCTCTCTGGTACTGCGCCCACTGCGGTCTCGCACACCTTCACCCTTGACTCAGGAGCTTCCCGCTCCTTCTTTCGCGACTGCACCGCACTTACGCCGCTCCGTCGGCCAGTCCCGGTCTCCCTGGCGGACCCCTCTGGGGGTCCAGTCCTTGCCCACTATTCCACGGTTCTGCCGTGTCCGGCCGTCCCGTCCGGCTCGCTGTCAGGTCTTTACCTCCCCTCGTTCTCTACGAACTTGGTGAGTGGAGCTGACCTCCAGGATGGGGGGGTTGACCAGTTCACTCCTGCGAGTCAGCGAGTGACTCACTGTACGTGTGCTAGGACGGGCCGGCACTTGGCCACGTTCACCCGTGCACCTGGCTCGAGTCTGTACACACTGACCACTGAGTCCCCTCAGGTAGCTGCGTCTGCGTTTGCGTCTGCGTCTGGTCAGCTGGCGGCCCCCTGCGAGTGTCGCGCTTTGTCGCACGACACTCTCCTGTGGCACCACCGCCTTGGTCACCCCTCCTTGCCTCGCCTGCGTAGCATGCACTCTCGCTCCCTGGTCTCTGGTCTTCCCAGGTCCCTGCCTGCCCTCCCTCCCTCGCCTGCGCCGCCCTGCATTCCTTGCGTCGAGGGGCGGCAGCGCGCCGCTCCTCACTCCTCCTCGTTTCCTCCCACAGAGGCTCCACTGCAGACGCTCCATCTGGACGTGTGGGGCCCAGCCCGCGTCCAGGGACAGGGCCGCGAGCGGTACTTCCTGCTGGTCGTCGACGACTACATGCGTTACACCACGGTCTTCCCCTTGCAGAGCAAGGGGGACGTCCCTACTGTTTTGATCCCCTGGATCCGCGCTGTTCGTCTCCAGCTCCGCGAGCGGTTCCGGTCGGACTTTCCTGTCCTGCGTCTGCACTCTGACAGAGGTGGTGAGTTCTCCTCCGACCTCTTGGCAGCCTACTGTGCGGAGCACGGCATCACCCAGTCGTTCACGCTTCCGGCCTCTCCGCAGCAGAATGGGGTTGCTGAGCGCCGCATTGGCTTAGTCATGGAGGTCGCTCGTACCTCCATGATCCATGCGGCTGCCCCCCATTTTCTGTGGCCGTTTGCGGTCCGGTACGCCGCGCATCAGCTCAACCTCTGGCCCCGTGTCTCCTTGCCGGAGACCTCGCCCACACTGCTGTGGACGGGGAAGGTTGGCGATGCGTCGCGTTTCCGGGTCTGGGGTGCTCGTGCCTTTGTCCGCGATACCACCGCGGACAAGCTCTCCGCCCGCGCTGTTCCCTGTGTCTTCCTTGGCTTTGTCCCTGACGCGCCTGGTTGGCAGTTTTACCACCCCACCTCGCGCCGTGTCTTTGCGTCTCAGGACGTCACGTTCGACGAGTCGGTTCCCTTTTACCGTCTCTTCCCCTACCGCACTGCCTCGCTCCCCCCCCCGCCGCTCTTCCTTGCTCCAGGTGCTCCCCAGGTAGACCCCCTCCCCGCTCCCGGTCCTGCTCCTTCAGGTGTTTCTCAGGTAGACCCTCCTCCCTTGACTGCGCCGGTTGAGGTCACTGGTGACTCAGGTCCTCCTGCGAGTGGTCCTGCTCGGGGTGCTGAGCCTGGGGGTGCGGAGCCTGGGGGTGCTGAGTCTGGGGGTACTGAGCCTGAGGGTGCGGAGCTTGAGGGTGTAGAGCCTGGTGGTGCTGAGCCTGCGTGTGAGGGGTCTGGGGGTGCTGAGCTTGGCGGTACTGACGCTGGAGGTTCTGGAGCTACTGAGGGTGCTGGCGCTGGAGGTTCAGGAGCTGCTGGAGGGCCTAGTCCTGGTGGCGCTGGAGCTGGAGGTCCTGGAGCTGTTGAGGGTGCTCGCGCTGGAGGTTCTGGAGTCGCTGGAGGTACTGGTGCTGAGGGTACTGACACCGGAGGTTCTGGAGCCGTTGGGGGTGCGGGCGCTGAGGGTTCTGAGTCTGCTGTTGCGCGGTCTCCTTGGAGTGGCCGCCTTCGTCCCCGTGTGCCTCTCACCCCACAGCAGCTGCAGGACTGGTACGGTCGCCGTCAGCGTCGCGCTGCTGGAGCTCGGAGTCGTGCTGGTCCTTTGTCTACTGGAGGTGCTGGAGTTGCTGGTTCTGGAGGGGCTCGTGCTGGAGACACTGAGGCTGGAGACCCTTGGACTGGAGGTGCTGGCTCTGGGGGTGCTGCTGCTGGAGACGCTGAGGTTGGAGACCCTGGAGCTGGAGGTGCTGGTTCTGGGGGTGCTACTGCTGGAGACCCTGCGGTTGGAGACCCTGGGACTGGAGGTGCTGGTTCTGGGGGTGCTGCTGCTGGAGACACAGAGGTTGGAGACCCTGGGACTCGAGGTGTCGGCTCTGGGCCTGGAGCTTCTGGAGCTGCTGGAGGTACTGGAGCTGCTGGAGGTACTGGAGCTGCTGGAGGCACTGGAGCTGCTGGAGCTGCTGGTTCTGGTGCAGCTGCGCCGACACGACTGTTCTTCGCTCCGCCGTCTCCGTCGTCTCTGCCGCCGTCTGCCTCTGTTCTTCGTCAGGTTCTTACTCTTCCGTCGTCTACTGGTCTTCCGTTACAGACTGGCTCGCCGCTGCCTGCTCCTTCTCCTTACGCTGAGCTGACTGGTAGTCCTGCTGTGCGTCGTGAGCCTGCGTCGCGTCCTGTCTCGCCTGCTCGTCCTGGTCGTACCGGTCCTCGTGTTCCTCGTTCGCGTCCGCCGGCTGTCCCCAGCGCGCACCTCGTAGTCCGTCGTCCTTCCTCTGTTCCGCAGCCTGTTCCTCTGCCGTCTCCTCCTGCGTCCTCTTTGCCTGACGTTCCGGACCCTGCGTCTGACCGGTTTCGTGCTCAGCACCCTACTGTCACGCGTCTACTAGCCACAGTTGTCACTGACCCGTCGTTTGAGTCTGCTGCTGCGTCTGCTCTTGTCGCTGAGCTTGTTGACTTTGCTGCTGCCTGTCGTCTAGACTTCACTGCCAGTCTTGTTACTGAGTCTGAGTCTGTCTGTCCTCCGTCCGTCGGGGGTGAGTGTGCTCTTAGCACGGACGTCCTTGAGGACAGGCAGGAGGAGTTCCAGTGCCTTGCTGCTGCTTTACCTCATCTTGTGTCCTCGCTACTTGCCCCTGAGGGAGACCCGGATGCACCAGACATCCCGACTCCGCGCTCTTACGCAGAGGCGATAGAGGGTCCCTACTCCTCTCAGTGGCAGGCAGCCATGGACGCAGAGATGGCTTCCTGGAAGTCCACAGGCACCTACGTTGACGAGGTTCCCCCACCTGGGGCGAACATCGTCAGTGGCATGTGGATTTTCAGGGTGAAGCGGCCGCCGGGTTCTCCGCCTGTCTTCAAGGCGCGTTACGTGGCTCGAGGCTTCAGTCAGCGAGAGGGAGTTGACTTCTTCCAGACCTTCTCCCCCACCCCGAAGATGACCACTCTTCGGGTGCTGCTGCATGTTGCTGCTCACCGTGACTACGAGCTTCACTCTCTTGACTTCAGCACAGCTTTCTTGCAGGGCAGCCTGCACGAGGAGATCTGGCTGCGCCGCCCCCCGGGCTTCACTGGGTCGTTCCCTCCTGGCACCCAGTGGAGCCTCCGGCGGCCGGTCTACGGTCTCCGCCAGGCGCCACGTGAGTGGCACGACACACTGAGGACTACGCTTGCGGCTCTTGGGTTTGCGCCTTCTACTGCTGACCCGTCGCTGTTTCTGCGCACCGACACTTCCCTGCCGCCGTTCTACATCCTCGTGTATGTCGACGACTTGGTTTTTGCCACTGCTGACACTGAGGCTCTCGCCCACGTGAAGTCGGAGCTGCAGAAGAGACACACGTGCACAGACTTGGGTGAGCTGCGCAGCTACCTTGGCTTGCAGATCACCCGAGACAGAGCACGTCGCACCATCACCTTGACTCAGTCACACATGGTGCAGCAGGTCCTTCAGCGCTTCGGCTTCACCTGGTCTTCAGCACAGGCCACTCCTCTGGCTACAGGTCACACGCTCTCAGCTCCACCTTC